TTTTTTTTGAGAGAAGACGAAGAGAGGTTAAAACAGTTCTGAAAGATGAGGGGGAAAGAAAATAATCCTGAATAAAATTGTTTTGYTACCCCTTTAAACAGCTAGAGGGGGAAAAAATGTGGGGGGAAATAATGTGACATGCAGTGCCATGCACAGAAGCTTTGTTTTCTTCCTGTATACTATTTCAGGGTCAATTCACCAGAGTAAAAGCACATGAAATTTTCACATGGTGGTTTGGTGGTGACAGTTTTATGGAGTTGCTTTGGTCTCTTAATGTGTCATCTCCCCCCGCATCACCCTGCTCCCGGCCATACTTAGCAAGAAGCCACCTCAAGAGCCTCCCACAGATTCGTATTTTAAACTCCACTTCCCTCGTGTGGGCTCTCTATTGAGAGCACTGTGATTAAACTGTGCACCCAGAGGATGAGATCATRTAATGCTTGAGCAGGCGCTTATTCACAGCAGAATTTGCAGTGGAAGATTTCTTACCAACARGCAGGTGAGTCTTAACAAATGCTCCCAGATAAAAAAACGGTATCTTTAATTCATCTGTTAATTACATTTAATTTTTCTGGCAGTAGGTGAGTTAACAACAACAACAAYAAAAAAGAAAGCACTAACATATTTATTAGACATGGATTTCATATTTGCTTTGAGCTTTGTTAGATTTGAGACCAGACTTCGTAAGACCTGAGCTTAATGGATTCTTCCAATGCATATTTTCAGAAGCTTCAGAGATGAGTAAGTTWCGCTGCTCCTTCAGACACTGGCTCYCCAGAGCTTTACCTCTGCCTGCCTACTGCCCGGTGGGAGATCAGGGGAGAAGGACTCACCATGCTGTGTGCAGCACCACGTGATGTCCAAAGCCATGCACATTGAAGGGGTGGCACAAGCCCTTTATTTGTCCCACTGTCCCAGGTCTTTTTTTAAGGCACAAACCAGTCCATCCCCCTGCAGGGTTCTCTGTGTTAATGTGAAGCTGACTCCAGACTCCACTCCAAAATGGGAGCAAGAAGCCTTCTCCTGGGAAGACACTTCGTGCAGCCTGTTCAACAGCCCTGGGCAAAGACCCAGCTTGCAGTGTTTGTCTCTGAGATAGATCTCATTTTCTGGGCTTAAAAACATGCCCARCACTGAAATAACTGTTTTGAAGCTACGTTCTCTTCAGAGAAATTATATTCTGTGGGCATCTCGCTGCTGCTTTATGCCTTGCCTGGCTGCAAGGCTCTGGTTATTGTAACTTCTTTCATCAACAGATTTTTCCTCTTTTCACAATGTGTTCATCTAATTCCTGCTCCATTTCCTATCTCTTTTCATTTGGCAACGTTTATCTCAGTGAGGAGAATTGGACTTCATCTGTGGGTATTACAATGGGTAAATATATCAACAGTTTTTTACTTATGTGTCAGTCACTGGGTTGCGTAACACAGCCGTAGTGRTTTATTCTTGTTTTGTGTGGGAGACAGTGAAATGTTGGTTCGTGTAACGTTAAAGGCTGCCACAGAATGCCTCTTGCAAGGCACAGCCCCCGTGAAGGGCGTTAAATATTAAATATGGTCTGATGAACAGGCAAGGCTTTGTGACAATGAATGCATAGTTGAATTTCTCTGACTGTGCAGTGTTGTGGCATTTCTGAGCAATAGCTCCTGCAGTTGAGACAGTCACATTTCAATGTCTGCTATCGACTATCAACCAAAGTCAGTTATGGGCACACTGTCTTAACCTGACAGGATACAACAGGTTTTTTTTTCTTTTAATATTTTGAGAAGTTTACATTGGTTTGGGGGGAAATTGGTTTAGTTGGGTTGGGGGGGGTGGTTTTTTAATTTGTTTGTTTGGTTGGTTTGTTTGTTTGTAGGGGTTCTTGCAGTGGAGGCTTTTTTTTCCCATATATACAAAGATGCTTCCATCACAATGGGGCCATATTTTGCATTTTGGGCAGTACACCCGCGAATGATCCAGGTTTCTTCAGGGAGGACAGTTTCCTTCACAAGCCATAGAGGAAGGGTAACACCTAGTGGGAGTAAATCCRCACTGCAATTAAGGAATACAAAGGGTTCCAAAGTCTTGCCAGCACGACCCAAGGCACATCAAAAGAAAACTATACTTTTTTGATAGATGTAAACTATTATATATTCAGCTTCTTTGTGAGAAACTTAATAGAGCAAGAACACATTTTACCCCTGTTCTGAATGAAAGTGTTGGTTTATTGTTTCTTCTCACAGTCTGCACTGTGTGAAATTGTATAATATTGCTTAAAAATAYCTAATTGCATATGAATGCATTGTTTGAATTTTAATACTGAATTCAGTGAAATATTTAGCCTTCTGCATAAAATCAGGAAAAGGAGTTAGTGATCTGGAGTTTCAAATATGCTCATTTAAGCTTCACAGTCTTGCTTAGATGATGCAAGAAACAGTCTCATAGTCCCACAGCAGAGCATATTGCCTAAGAGTTTGGAATCTTTCATATTTTGGGGACATATCCTCTCTAAAATACGTGCAGTTCCATAGGTTTGACTTTGACAGTCAGTGGATGGCTACTAGGTTGAAACCTTTCCCATTTCTGAATCATTATTTAGAGTGAAATTATCAGCCTTAGCATTGATACCTCAAATGATACCGAGTAATATTTCCAAAAACTTGAATTGTATTTTTGCACCTAATGACAGTAGAACTCAATTCGTGAAGAGAGTGGCTTTCTGTCTCTCAGCAAACTCAGTTTCACATGCAGCATTCACAAATGGACACATTCATAGATTTCAACATTTCATGTGAATTGGACTGAATGTYACCTGTGAAGTTACATCTGATAATATCTGTTTGCAGAGATTGTTTTTGCTGTGTATTTGCATATGCAGTGGAATGTGTTTAGCTGGAACTGCATGTTCTAGGAAATCCAGCAGCTGTGATAATCTACCACGAAAGATATTGAAAAAAACAGAATAATACAGGCTGTAGGGGAGCTCAGAAAGTCATCCAGGGCTCCTGCCCTTTCCTCCTGACAGGGTGCTACAGACATTGCTTTGGATAATTTTGTGAAGGCAAAGCCCTGCAGAGTCTGGGGAAGAGGGAGGGAGAGGAGGACAGACATTAGCTGTGTGTTCTGTGTCCTTGGCCGATACAGAGCTACAGAGTGTGACTGCGAATCATAATCAAGTGAGCAATTAGTGAAGGTCAGAGCTGTGTTAATTTCCTTCAAGCACCTTTGCAAAAACTGGAAGACACAAAGTGCCCTCTCAATGTCACAGGGACATGCAGGTGGTTTTTGC